CCATTGTACTAGTGTTTCAGAAGCATTCATATCAAATTAGAAATTATCAGCAGATGATGCCATTAGCTTTCAATATGAATAATGATAAAGAGTTTATAGTGCAGAAACCATAGCAATGGAGACATGACAAAAAGAGTAGAGGGCACATGAGCAGAAGGCAAACAAGTGGCAGTTCTGAGATTTATCTCAGATTTGTTCTCTAAAACAAGCCAAGTGGGGTTGGGGAAGAAGATTACTTTAAAAAAAAGAAACAAGGAAAGTAAACAGTAAGAATTTTTAAAAGTTACGTTGATTTTTGTTTGTGGTTTTAGTAAAGTCTGGCAGAAGTGAGTGAGGTGACAAATTAAATTTTTGAAGTCATTTTAGTCTTTGCTCCTCAGATCCCGTTATTTTTCCTCCAAAGGTGATAAAAACTAAGATTTCTTTCTCATTTGCACTTTGTCGGCAGGGGACTCTTGGTGAGGTCCAACAGCATCAGAAGCAATAGCACATTCTCCTCACCAAAGAGACAGAACATTAAAAAAAAGTCTTTGCAACACAGACTGAGGAAAAAAAAAAAGGAACTGAAACAAATAACTGAATCTATATTATAGTCAATAGAACAATTAGAAGTGCTAAAGGTTTTTAAAACAAAGTTGTTTTAGAGCAAGGCACGGAATTTCTTTAGAGAAGAGCAGAAAGGCTAGAATATCTGTTGTCTCTATACACTGGTTGACTTGAGACCTGAGTAAATTCTGGCATGAAGTCCCCAAACTGAATTATACCAACACCACACAGAAAGACAATAGTTGTACAGTCATCTGCTTGAAGCATAGCAGAATTTTGCCAGAATATCCATTTCCCACTGCAAGCCTAATAATGCAGCATAGTTAACCCCTGCACATACAGCATGCATTACGAACAAAACGCTTGTCAGTGAGAGCCTTTACCTACTCCTTCACCTACTGAAAGACAAGTGTATCCAGTGACCTAAGTTTTATATACAAACAAGAAACTTGCAATAACTCCGAAACAAGACAACATTGACATATGATACAAGACAAGCCCATTTAGAACAGAGTAGACCAGAAGCTCCACCCAGAATTTTAATCTAGAAAAGATTTTGCAGGACCTCCTATATTTCCAATGCAGGTTGTATAGCCTTCAGAACAGAATTCGTTCTCTACACCTGAAAACTTGAGATCCTAAAAATCTTCTTTGACACTAGTAGCATAGTATTGGAACTAATTTTATATATAAATATATGGGTTTAAGTTTTGCCAATTATTGAATTATTTCCACTACTCTCTCTGAAAGTTTCTTCATTAGTAGGAGGTCAACTTGTCTTTCTGTTTTACTATGAAAAACACATAGCTATTTTAGGTTAGTAACAGATCCCACTATAAATAATTTATTTTTCCATTCTATCATCTTCTCCTACCAGGAGGTTTTTTATTTTAATAAACTAAGGGGGGAGGGGAAGCAGATATGAGGTAATGAACAGGAATTCACCTGATTTGTATACAAAGGAAATTCAAGGAGTTATTGCTGCCCAAAGTCAACTAAAAATATAATTCACAATGCATGAGCAATATATACCCATAATTTAGCTTACTGTCTGTCAGAAAAGTAACAGAACAGATAAATACTTGAACAAGAACGTGCTTTCAAAGTTTTTCACAGAGTAACAAGCTTCTTTAAAGTCAGTATTTTCCTTCTCAATTTTAAGAAGTGCTGAAATACACAAACCCATATCTAACATGGGCTGGAAACTAGGTTCTCAGAGAATACTGACCAAAACAAAGCAGATCAATCTGAATATTTCTAAGAGTAGAATTTCTAAAGACAATAAAATGATACTACTATTTTTTTGATGCATGTTAGAAGTGAGCTCACTCTGTTATACTGCTGGACAGAGAAAATGTTATAGGTGGTTCTCACATCCAAGATCCAACACTGCTGGACTGAACAAGTTATTTGCTCAAGTAATCAGGACTACAGAAGCTTAAATTTCTTTAATAATCAGCAGGTCAGTTACTGTGCACTTTAGATTTTTGACCTTCTGAGTCTTTCACATATAAAGCATGACCAACTCTTAAATCCTTAAAGATGAGGAACATCAAGACAGCACTTTGGGCTTGACTCTCCATCACAAACAAAGAAATTCACCATAACCTCCATATGCTACAGCAAACTTGAAGAGCATAATTAAGAGCAACATGTTTGCTCAAGAAATAAAAATTAGGTCAGCTAACCTCCTTTCTTAAAAAATGAACTTTTTACGTTTGCGGGTGGTTATGCTATGAAGAATAAGTATGTAAAAACACCTTTCGACACAGATTTGCCCAGCCCTCCTTCCACTCTGGTCTAAAGACATCTCACTTTAGTGATCAAAAAATCCCCCAAGTACCGTACATCTCCTCCTTTCAAAGTACAAGAAGCGAGCTAGCTGATTTCTGCTAACACCGCTGTGGTAGTGCAGTTATGAGTCACCAAACTGAATGAAACCCAGTAGGAGGGAGTATGTTGGGCTTCACCCCATTAGTAACAACAGACCACAGCATGATTTTCATACCCCCAACTGTACCTGCACACACAGAAGTAAACTCACTCTGAAAGCTATTGGGAAACAAACTACCAGAAAAGCCATAGCTAAGAATCACTTTTTCATAAAGTTAAATCTTTTCTGCATACGCACATTACTAACCAGTACTTCACATGCCTTAAATTCTGATCAGTGTGATTTCCGAGGTATTAATCGACAAAACGAAGAGGTCACAGCTAATGACTGAACGGAGGCAGAACTCAATGACAGATGGATGAGTATTGCTTTTTACGGAGACCTCATATACCAGAAAGCTATATTAAAAAGTCAGCTTAACAGTTTAAAAAAAAAAAAAGAAATGCAGAAAATAGATGCTTTCTGCAACAAAAACTATGTTGGCTGGTTTGATTTTTTTTTAAGCATTCCAGTTTTAATAAAAGCAGAGAACATCGAGACATCTTCTCATTCCAAATTAGTCACCAGTAGCTGATATGTTTTCCCGGGACCCAGAGAAACCAAGGGACCTGCTTTTTTTGATACTGCCCAAAAATTTGGATTTTGTTCTCACAGAAGCCAGGTAAAGCGTCCTTACTACCAAATTATTGGTTGTCTCAAGATAGCTATCAAGTGACTACTTCTGCTCTCATAAAATAACATGGTGCAGAAGCATGAACTTCAGCCTCCCACATCATAGGCAGGTGTGCTGGAACAGTTGGGGAATCTTCTCAGAGAGGTCAGGGATGTTGTTTCACTTGCAGAAAAAGTGAAAAAACAGTTTCAAAAATTTCCAGGGCCAGAAACTCTCCCCTACTTCTATTTGGGAAATGAAGATCCAGGAGAATGCAGTCCACAGGTCAAATTCTCCAGACCACTTAAATCTAAAATCGAGGATTCTCTGAACCAAGCTGAATATTTGGTTACTCTCTCGTCCAAAATGGAGCAGAAAAGGAATCCCAGGATCAAGGAGCTTTTACATTTTTAATTATTCTGCTGAAATTTCCGCTGCTGCCATAAAATACAACTCCAGTACACTACTCAAAAGACCATGCTGAAACAAAGTAAAATTTAACACACTTATGAAAAATTTCCCCTCACACAAGTATCCTAAATCGTAAACTATTTACCAGAATTTCCTTTTGAACCTCATGTCCATATATCTGAGTACTGGGTTTTGTCAAGGACAATTGTCAAGTGGACTCTAAGTAACTTAAATCACTTTCTCATGCTTGAAGCATCCATGAAACCTCTGATCTGCACTTCATTTTTGCCAGCACTGCAATTCTCAATACTCTCTGTATTGAGACTTTCAGCCAAACAATTTAGAGCGTTACATTGTTAATATGAAAATATTCAAGAAATAAACATTTATCATAACCAGAGATAAGCAGAAGATAACATCAAAAAACATAAAACAGATACAACACACACAAATATTTAATGACCATTAAAACTTGCACGTAGCAAAGAATACTAACAAAATAATTGAAACGCAAACAGCATTTAAAAAACAGTAAGCCTTTTGCATCAACTTTCCTTGTTACCGAACTTTATACTATTACATGCTCTCACTTCCTGGTTTGTCAGAAACCACACTGTTTTAAAGTCAAAGGTGCTCGCTAAAAGGAAGAAGGAGGAATGAGTATTTTTAGAGATGTTTTGAGACCTCTGATAATAGCAGAGTATCTTTATAAACTTAAAAACAGTTTTCCTCCTAATGTTTGGTCTCCTTCAGCAAGCAAACATTAACAACTAGCCTAATTGTTTTAAATGTGGCCCAAGAAGTTCAATGGTATATATTATGTTTGCAGCTTCAACAGGAAAAATTGTATCCTCAATTTTTAGTGAGATCTGTTATAAAGTATTAAATACATCCATACTGTATTCAAAAAACAGCAGCTGACTACCTAACTCATTAATAAAAAAAGGACATTGAAACCACATTCTACTCTTCCCAATAAGCAAAGTAAAGCATTTGAATGAACTGCTTCTTGACACCCCCACGCCCTGTAGACAGAACATGAAAGTTCTGCCTACTTCCAAAGCAAATGGGAAGCAAAAAGGGATGTAAACATCTTCATGGGAAAAGTTGTTTTGGCTTAAAACAGCAACGTGTGTGTTTTGATGACAGTTTGAGTTACTAAATCAACATTTAACTTTCTTGTTGAGTACACCTGTTGAATGTTTAAACATAACAATACACTTCTCAGTTTTAAATAAAGCAACACTTTCTCTGAGGCAAACTAAGGAGGATGCTGGTTAGACTTGTTTCAAGTTTAAATCTATATATAGAGCCTCATATGTTTTATTTTCAGCTTTTGTGATCCAGAAGTAAAAGGAACCTAGCTGAAATCTAGTATGGTGAAAGCATAAACATGTAAAAAAATATCAACAGAAAAATAACATCAAAAAAGCACAGGATTCTTCTGCACGCATATGCTGTTCTTTCCTCTCATACCCAAAAAGGCAATCAACTTACCAGATTAAAGACAGTTTCGACTATATCTCTGTTGGACACTTTACCAACTTCCACCAGTCCTGTCAGCACAGCAAATTTCATCTTGATACCTCGGATGGGGACTCCTGGATTCAAAGGCTGCAGCACACTTCCCCCTTCAGCAGCATTTCCTTCTCTTCCCGCTCCTCCTCCATCATCACCTGTTGGCTGAACAACTTGTTTGTCTTCACTCGCCATGGCTAGTTCACTTCAGATTACGACTTGAAACGCCAGCGGCGCGCTCGCCGCTCCGGGAAGAAGCAGCGACTTGGGCTCCCGGGAAGGTAACCGGCGGCCCACTCCTCCCCTTCAGCTCCGGCCCCTGAGGAAATCCGCGTCCGGCGGGGGAGGGAGGGAGGCAGGCAGGCAGGGCGGGAGGACGTGCCCTCGGAGTCCCAGCTCTCTGCTCAGCAGCAGGCGTCTGTCAGCAGCTCTCTGCCCTAAGGCAGGTATTTACAGCCCTGAAGGACAGCCAGAGACATTTTTCAATTCGCGGAGAGTCAGGCGCTCCCCACAAGCCCCAGGGTCCCCCCTCCGGCCAGC